TCTCTCTCTCTCTTCCTTATATATGGCTACATTTTTAGTAGCCTAGATATGCGTCCATCTCTTAGTTTGGTTAAATGGAGACGAATACGGCCTATTGCAGCTATTTTTTTTTTCCCCGTGAAAGTGGGAGGCACAAATTTTGGCCCGTCCTGGGTGGTACTGACACTAGCTACACCGGTGGTACTGACACTAGACACACCGGTGGTACTGACACTAGACACACCGGTGGTACTGACACTAGACACATCAGTGATACCCCGCACCCCATCACGATTTCATAGCAAATTTCACCCCACCCCCCCCCTTTTAAACTAAACAACAATAAAAAAATCTGTTATAGGTTTAGACAATACAAAAAAAATGGATTTTCTAAAGTTTTTATGTCTCGGCCAACCCATTCCTCTTTCGTTGTCTCCGGCCAACCCATTCCTCTTTCGTAGATCCCCGGTTAATTAATCATTTTTTTTAAATCGTTATTTAAGTCATTAAATTATTCAGTTTAAAAATGTCGAAAAAAATTACTGGCCAGTATGGGGATCGAACCCACGACATTCGCGTTATTAGCACGACGCTCTAACCAACTGAGCTAACCGGCCTTGATGTTAATTCGACAAGAAGTAAAACAAGTAAAAAATATACCTTTGGTTTGTGTTTGTTATCTTCCATGAATCAGGTTATTTTCTCAGCCAAAAGTAATCAAATAATAGTATAAAGATGTGGTCCATACTATAATAAACTGTGCCAGCGGGAAAAAAAAATAATTAAAGCGAAAATTTAGATAAAAATATTAAAATTAATCTAGTAGAATGTGTGAGTGTATGTGTAATCAGTAAGAGTTAAGACTTAGACTTAAGTCTTAAGTCCTAATTAATGATTAATTAAGTAAGTTAATTTAAATTTAGTAAGTTACATGACATAATGGGACCCCCCCCCCTTTTTTTTTTCTTCTTAATTCAGTTTCAGACAATCATGTCCAGCGTTTCTTTCAGGCAGCTCTCTGAACAATAAAACAAAATTATATTTTATACAAAAACTAAGAATTTCTATTTCTATTTTTTTAAATTAAAATTTTAAAGGAATAGTCTGAATAGACAATTGAATTGTAGCTGGTGCGTTTAACCGATTACAATTAAATTAGTGAAAGCAATGAAACATCGCTACGCTCAATTTGATGATCCGTAGCCTATATTTAAGGATAATCTTGTTAGAGGCTAACACTAAGGAAATGTCAGAAAGAAAGACTGTTCATGTCCATTGACTAATACTATTGATTATATTAGCGAATGGCCAATGTCAGTTATTGTTATCGTGGACATCTTTGAGAAATAACTTAATGTATCTTATACTTGTTAACTGTATGCGATCTAAGAATTTCTAATTGTTATAGTTATAGGCAATAAAATAAATAGGGCCTATCAACATTCTGTTGTCAACAGACTTTGAACAGAAACTAAATAATTCATAATAATTGAACAAATCAATTGTTGACTTTCCATTATATTTTTTTAATTGAATTTTTAATAAAACATTGTTGTTATATATTTTTATGTTCATTAATTTATGCAGATATACACAGTGTAATCTAATTTATGAGAGAAAAAATGTGAGTAGTAAAACTTATTCACTGGAAGAAAATTCAATTCCAAACAAGGTTGCAGATGCGAAAAGGTTAAAAGGAGTTTGGAAAGAAGGGCGCCTACTCTTAAATAATAATTGCAAGACATACTTCATTGCTTGCCTTGAAATTTCATTAACATGTCGAAATGCCACGGAACAAGATCAGCTGTATTTTACACCCTTTTGGATTATTGGGGAATTGTTACTCTTATAGTTTCCATCAGCTAAGTTTTTGCCAAATTACTGAAGATAGATAGCAGACGACTTTTAGCACATCAAAATGAAGTTGACGCACAGAAACATTGATAAAAGCAATTCCGGGTAAGTCTGACTCATTTTCTTCAGTCTTCACTGACTTAAAAAGACTGTGACTAAGCCTAAGCGGTTGCCAGTTTATCAGACTTATGATGACTTATTAATTATTATAGTTAGCCTAAAACATATTTAATTATTTATCTTAATTTATGATTATTTTGATAATTTATTATTGGGTCTATAGTCAATAATTTAACATTCAATTCATGTGTGAGTGATGAGAAGTGGTCTGGTAGTTTATTGAAAACTGAAAATGATACAATATTTCAATAAATAGTCAATGATTCAGTCAATGTCTATAACTATAATTATAATACTCTATACTATACTGATAATACTGTGTCATTGTTTGTCTATTCTGTACTGTAGTCGATCAGTATAAATATAATCAGAATCAATTTTCTGACTGTAGTAGTACTAGACTAGTAGTCAATCAGTATGTTCAATTATCTAATCTGTAGATCACCATCTTGCCAGACATGCCAGACATGCTTATCATGGCACATGTGTGAAAAGCTCCATGCCTTCAACTACTTATTATATGCTTAAAGTATTTACTTACATTCTAATCTTATTGTCCTGTCCTTAAATTCAAGCTTCCACATACCTGGTTTTGCTATTTTATTTAAATTCATTTTAATCAGATCAACTTAATTCTCATGACCTCTTAACGTCTTAATATTTCTGTACAATCTTTTTGAAAATGTCTATAGGTAGTTTTTTACTACCAATAACTTATATTGAGCTATTAGTAGTCCAGCCAATCAAATCAAACCAAAACTTCAAAAACCTGCTTTCAATCATGCTGGTGTGTTATTGCCCTGTTCATTTATTACTAATTCGTACTAATCCTGAAGAAAAGAGTCTGGTCAAACGCCAAACTCACAAGAAGAACTAAGCTGCAGGTGTACCAGGCCTGCGTACTGAGCACACTTCCGTATGGATGCGAAGACCACATACTCTAAACACGAAAGAAGGCTCAATGGCTTCCACCTCAGATGCCTGCGCCACATCCTTGACATTAAATGGCAAGACAAAGTCCCCAACATGGATGTCCTGTCCAGCCATGTTAATCCAAAGAATGCAATCTGGTCTCATACCAAAGGACGTGCTATACAGCCAGTTGGCGACAGGGAAAAGGTCAGTTGGACGGCCTCGTCTGAGATACTTAGACATATGCAAAAGAGACATGAAGTCGGCCAACATCGACATCTCAAACTGGGGGGAGCTGGCAGGGCATCGTGAAGGTAGGATCACTACATGCCGAGGATTAAAACAGGGCGGAAACAGCTGCAAAAAGAGCGAGGAGGAAGGCCGGTAAATACTGCTCCACCGCATTCGTGTGTGGGAAATGTAACAGAGACTGCCATTCGAGGATTGGTCTCACCAGCCACACCAAGAGCTGCAAGCAATAAAGATAATCTATCGTCTCCCGCAGACGGAAAGATGCCATACATACATACTTATGAAAGAGCTAAGTTTTAAATTTCTATTTTGATCCGTCAAAGATTTTGAAAAGGCAATCAAAGCTTTATAAGAGTTTCAAAATGTTGTCTTTATAAAAAAAAAAAAAAAAGAGCTATAGAATTATAATTTATAACTTGCCACCCCTCCGGTTGTTGATTTTCTGTTGGATGCAGGTGTACCAGGCCTGCGTACTGAGCACACTTCCGTATGGATGCGAAGACCACATACTCTAAACACGAAAGAAGGCTCAATGGCCTGCTGAGTATTATTTACACAAAGGAGCACTTGTTAACCTAGGCATTGATATTTGTATGTACAATTAAAAGATTTCATTTTGTGAATTGTTCATCTATAATACAAATTAGGAATTGCTATTTACTATATATTTTTAATGCTATGCAGAATCAATGTTTTTAACAGCACAGAATCCAATGAAAACATAAGCGGCAATACTTAAAATATATACAGACAAAGAAAAATAAGTGTTTAAGATTAGATAAGATTCTTTTTTTGGTCCAAATAAATTGAAATGTATTTTTATTGCATTGTACATATACATTTTGATCCCATAAATAAATACATAATTTAACGAAGTCAACATTATCTAACAAAAACAGTTTAAACACAAGACATCTGAATTAAATTATTCCTCTCGCGTAAAAAAACAGCCAATCAGTGGACTCTCTTAGTCATAATTTGGTGTAAATTTATGAGACTAAACACAAAAAATGAATTATGAAGAGAACCACAACCAGGCAGCTGTCTAAAACATCGGCACAAATTTTTTTCTTTTTGGCAAAATATTGTATTGGTGACACAAAAAGTCAGAATTTCACATACCTACTTAAGAGTTATTTCAGTGACGTTATTTTAATAAATAGTGACTGCCAATACTAATTCAATACTGCACTACATCAAACACCAATTAGTAGTTTTTGATAGTAAACTACCAATAGCTGCCTAAAAGCTACTGGTAGTTTACTACCCATAGCCTTAGCCGTATTTTTACTCAAACTAGTCTAATTAGAGTACAGACACAGTCATGGTAGACAATTACTACCAATAGTACTTAACTAGTAACTAAGCTAAATCAAACAGTAATTAATAGATAATAAGCTTACTCCATGTTTCAGTAAAACGGACATATTGTATTCTGTGAAGCATTTACTATGATTTGGCCAGGGTTCAGCAAACTAGTCTCTACAGACTCTTGGCTAAATCTTTCTCCTTTGTTACTAGTTTTGTACAGCCTTGATGCTGAAAATGGATTCTACATTTTTTAAGTATGTGTATAATTCAACTGGATGTTTTTGTGGTGCTCCAATATCTTTGCATTGGCTTGCTCTGTGTGACAGCCTTTACTGTGATGCCAAGTAATTATAGTTTTTCAGTGCTTCCTCTTGTATACACATATCTTAACTCCCTGCCTGAAAACGATTTCAAATTTATACCCTATTCTAAAACTTCTACCAACTTCCAAAATTCATTTGTACATAGATTAGTACAGTGTATAGCCTAGCTTTTACGGTATAATACTAAGCATATATTTTCATTACGCTGTACCAAGCTGGGTTTGTTGCTAAAAGCATTTGCACAATCACACTCTCCCATCTAAAATAGACAAACCATATCATCTTACACTTGTTATATTTATGCATTTCAAATACTAAAATGTGTGTGTGTATCTATTATTTCAGGTCTGTTACTCTGGTCCCAGAGGAACCTGAAGACATGTGGCACACCTACAATCTTGTCTCAGTTGGGGACACTATCAAATCAACAACCATCAGGTTCTGTGTTATGTTCTGGGTTAAGAATTTTTAAAACCAATATGATGCATAAAGATGTTTTGTTTTTTCCACATACATTAATTTCCATAAAAGTTAGCGCTACAGTATAAATTTGTGTTTTATTAACTTTGTATTTTTCATTCTGGTTTGAAACTACATATTTCTTTAATGGCCCTCATACATATTTAATGTTAAACACTTTTTAAAAAAGAAAAATGTCATCACGTGTTAAAAAATTATATTTCTTATAACTTCTTTGTCTCATCTCACTCTGAAGGAAAGTCCAGAATGAGTCTGCGACAGGAAGTGTTAGTGTCAACAAGGTCCGCACAACGCTGACCATACAAGTAGAGAGTATAGACTTTGACACACAGGCCTGTGTACTTAGAGTCAGTGGAAGGAATGTGCAGGAAAATCAGTATGTCAAGGTAAAAAGAAGAAAAAAACCTGATCATCTTCATTGGGCATCATGTAATTGTTTTTTTTATTACCAAAATTGAGGCACTAGATATTGTAATGTCTTATAGAGTGTTATTTATTTACATCTTCTGGATATTACTAGATGGGTGCATACCACACTTTGCTTCTGGAGATGAACAGACAGTTTACACTCAGCAAACACGAATGGGACAGTGTGGCCCTGGACAGAATAGGTAATATTTCTATTTTTGGTACTGCATACACTAGGTAATATTTACTATGTGTTAAGCTTGCTCTATACAACTTAGGAAATCAATTTAATAATGAACATCCGAATGGGAATTTATTTCAATTTTTTTGTTTTACTTATTCCCCACTAATAATATTGTTTTTATGAATACACCCTCAGACACGGCATGTGACCCAGCTCAGCATGCAGATCTGATGGCTATCATCATGCAGGAAGGCATTGCCCATGTTTGCCTGGTCACCCCGAGCATGACATTGGTCAGGGCCAAGGTGGAGACAAACATACCGAGAAAAAGGAAAGGAATGTGTGATCAGCACACCAAGGTATATAATGTTGGGTGTGATCAGAATACCTAGTTATATGATTCTATATCACAACTATTTAGAAGTAAATATGTCATTGAAACTGAATTAACCACATATTTGATAAATACATTTACAAATACTACTACTACAAGGGATTATTTGGATGTAATAATTGCAAAACAGCTATTATGGAGGCGTAGACCCCATCTTGATAAGCCTTGACCTTCACCACCTATCCAACATTAGACTTTGGAAGGCAACACATTAAGTACCAAATATGATGATGATTTACACTGCCCTGTGGTTTTATGGTAGCATCTCTGCTACTATCCAGAAAATAGTAGGTTGCATGTCATGGATGGGTCAGTACATGAAGCCAGCTAGTTGGGGGATCCCTGAGTAAATGTCCTCAACCATCACAGTCCAAAGCAGAATCAAACTTGTCATGGGATTACATTTGATGTTATGAGGAGCACACAAAAGTGTGGATGGTTAACATGAAGGCTAATATAGCGTGCTACGCATACGGTTTGTTGACTTCAGGTTTTTTTATTTATTATTCAAAATTACTTTACTTTTTAATCATTTTTTCCCCCTTTTAGGGCCTTCACAGATTCTATGATCAGATCATTCAAGCTTTTCAACGTCATGTTAATTTTGATAGTAAGTTGACTTTTTGTTGTAAACTGGAGATAACTAGGCATTGTTCCAGAAGCTCAATATTGCCCTTTATATGATAATATTAAATTGTGTTTTTGACAAATGTTAAAACTTAATTTTATTGTATTTTTCCCCCATGTCAGTTGTGAAGTGTGTCCTCATTGCAAGCCCTGGCTTTGTCAAGGTAATTTCATCTCTTTGTGTGTCCACTGAGATCAGTAAATAAAAGTACATGCATCTGAAAAGTCAATGGCTTTTGGATAAACATCTACCATCAAATAATTCATTTGTAAGGATTTTTTTCTCATTTAACTATTTCAAGGCATTTTTTTTTAAAAATCTCCATCGGATAATTTTCTTTATGCCCAACAGGACCAGTTTGCAGACTATCTGTTTGCTCAGGCTGTTAAAATGGATGACAAATCCATCATAGACAACAGGTCAAAGTTCGTACTTGTTCATTCCTCATCTGGATTCAAACACTCCTTGAAAGGTCAGTTTATTTCTGAATCGTCATTCATTTGAATGTCTATGGCTTAATGCTGAACAAGTTAGGGTTTCATGTTCCAAAAGCTGTGAAAGTTCATATAACTTCTGGAGAGACTGTCTCTTCAATGATATTTAAGACAAATCCCTAGTTATTTCACATTTAATTTTATAAATAGGAAAAGGATGTAAACATTCTGAGAACATTTTTATAAAGAAAATTTTGTAATGGAGCCTGCACTTTAACATACAAACCCATGTCATGTTGTTTTCTGTTTTCATCTTAAGGAAAATTAAGATCTTGGGGAACTAAATTTCTCTGAAATTCCTCATTTTGTTTAAAAGCATTTTGTTTGCATATTAAATAGATAAGATGGTCATTATAATATTCATGCATCCAAAGAATTATCTCACTCCTGCATGCCAAATAAGAAATTTTCTCACCGCTGCTATGTTAAAACTATCCTTTTAATTGGTTAACAGAGGTCCTTGCTGATCCTAGCATAGCTGTCAAGTTGGCCGACACGAAAGCTGCTGGGGAAGTAAAAGCTTTGGATGACTTTTATGCCATGCTCCAGACAGACCCCGACAGAGCATACTATGGGTAATGGTTGCTTTATGCCATACTATATAATTACTATGGGTAATGGTACTTTTATATGGCATACTATGAGTAATGGTTGTTTTATATGCCATACTATGAGTAATGGCTGTTTTATATGGCATACTATGGGCAATGGTGCTTTTATATGGCTTATGATGGGAAATGGTTGTTTTATATGGCATACTACGGGTAATGGTGCTTTTATATGGCTTATGATGGGTAATGGTTGTTTTATATGGCATACTACGGGCAATGGTGCTTTTATATGGCTTATGATGGGTAATGGCTGTTTTATATGGCATACTACGGGCAATGGTGCTTTTATATGGCTTATGATGGGAAATGGTTGTTTTATATGGCATACTACGGGCAATGGTGCTTTTATATGGCTTATGATGGGAAATGGTTGTTTTTACCAATTTAATTTCATTCTAGTAAAATAGGTTCTTTTTTAATAATTAAAAATGACATGATTTCTAAAAGTATGCTCGATAGTCACTATTTAATAATTTGTGAAAATATGAAGCTAAATTAATGCACTTCAACATGTAGAAATTTAATTTTATGACAATGTTTCACAGTAATTTATATCTTTATGTATATTAGTATATTTTAACTTTTTACTTGGATTATTGTTGAATAAACGTGTCCTTGTTTTCTTCTTTTATCCAGTATCCGTCACTGTGAGAGAGCATGTGAGCAGCAAGCAGTGGAGCTATTAATGGTCTCTGATGAACTCTTCAGGTTAGGGAGTTTTTCTTTACTTAATCTCAAAGTAACCATATCAAATTAGTTCTGCTCAAATCTAGTTTATTCTAGAAAATTATGAATTTATATTATTTCATTTCATGTGTAATTAATTACTTTTTTTCATATTATATTTATTTGATTCTTAAATATGATTACCAGTAACTCAAAATTTATGATAGCAAATAGTGTTAAATTAATATTAATTTTTTTTTTATATACTATTTAAATAAGCAGTACTTTAACACCTTGGTATCACGCAAGCATCCCAATATGTCTAGAGCCAGGTTTTAATATCCTTGGTATACAGAGAACTCTGCATATGAAACTGTCTCTAGTGCTCGGTGGCAGCTTATGAAGCTGAAGATTATGTTTGAGGAGACAAAATTACATGGACACAATCAGCTTTGTGTAGCTGACATTTGATTAAATCCTTTGCACTTTATATTATTTCCACTGTGCATGTGGCTGTTATAAACGTCAATAATAGAAATGTTGTTTTGGTTCTCCTTTCACTCTCAAGAAAAAAAACACATGTGTTTCCTTTTCCTTAGGGCTCAAAATGTAGCACAGAGAAAGCGCTATGTTGCTTTGGTAGATTCTGTCAAGGAAAATGGAGGAGACGTGAAGATATTTTCAAGCCTGCATGTCTCTGGCGAACGTACGTATGGTGCTTTACATCAACTCATTAACTGTTGAACTCGTAAAACTGGCTGGTGCAGAATTAATTTTAGTTTTCTCCCCCTGGTGGGGGTGTCGTGTGTGTGGTGTTTGTTTGAAATCAGAAATTAAAATTACTCTTCTTAATTTTTAAACAGCTTTAATTATTCATGTCCCGGGTATCTTTTTAAAGGGAAATGAAATGAACATATTTGTTTTTAAAAACACAAACAAATTTTTTGCTTATATTATTCCATAATGTCCTGCTTTCTAATATCAACTCTTCTGTGTCACAGTTGAATAGATAGTCTGGCTATCTTCACAATTATTGAATGTTTTATTTTCTCAGAGCTCGGACAGTTATCCGGTGTTGCTGCAATTTTGAGATTCCCAATGCCAGAAGAGGATGAAGACAATGATGCAGATGATTCAGACGATTGATTGGGTTTTTTTTTCTTTTTCAATCTATTTAATAATCCTTGAAATCTTGCAAGTTTACGTTGAAAAGCTTTTTTTTCAAAAAAACAGGTGCATGTTGTTGCATTAACTAAAACTTGTATTAAAGTTTTAACAATGTACTGAAATGTTTCAGCAAATGCTCTTCATGTTGATACAGTTTTCTTAAATAACCAGGCACATGTTGTATTAGCTAAAACTCAGTTAAACGTTTTAACTCATTCCTGACGGCTGCGACCAAATGTGTCATTTGGTGGTACTGACAGATGCGGCCATATGCGTCATGGGGCACAACAACACGCCTCTTTAATAGATATTTAAAAAATTGCAACAGAATATCGTGTCCCTCAAGACTTCCAGTGATTGCCTGATTTAAATGTTAAAAAACTGAAGTTTTTATCTGGCTTCACTTTCGTTCTATGTGTGCTTTATTAGTATGATTTGTCTGTATCTAGCATGTGTTCATCTTAGGTGCCAAAAATGGATTTTTTGGTCACGCTCCTTACTTTTTCTCCGTTAATATTATTATTTTTTTTTTTTAACCTTATTTATGTCTGGATGCATTTATCGTTAATTCATTAGCAGCTTAAAAATGTTTTACAAATGTAAATAAATTGCAAAACTGAGTTAATTCCCTTCCTCAGGAATATAAAGTAAATACGACGGAAGTAGCTTTGATATAGGAATGAGTTGATAATGTACTGATTTCGTGCTCATACAATTTGCTCAGTTGTTTCATAGATATTGTTATCTCAGTTATTTCATGGATATTGTTATCTCAGTTGTTTCATAGATAATAGTGTAGTTGTTTCATATTGTTTGCCTCAGTTGTTTCATTGCTAATTTTATCAAGCTGTTTCAAATTTTACAAAAATTTTGAAGGGAGATTCGGCATTTACTTGCTTAAGGTAAAGTAGATGGCCCTTTTTGGAGCCAGAGCAAAAAGATGGTGTCACATTATGATGAAAATGTGAAAAATATTTGGATAAGTCTTGGCCTGTACATAATTTTAAAAAATTTAAAATAATTTAGTTTTCAGGGTTGTAAAAATTTCCTAAATAATTTTATTGTGAAAAAGAAAACACATTCAAGTTGACATGGTGTGAGTCTGTGTCATAATGTGCCCATCCTACTCCCATTACTGCTCTGAAAACTTTAATCTAGCCCATTAACCACATTAGTTGCAACTTGGAGACTGGAAGGAAATCTTTTGGCCCTCTGGTGAATGACAGTTTGATGTACCACTGATCAGTTTGACTAAAACAGCAACTAAGCTCTAACTTCTTACTGCATGAAGTATTTGCAGTGTGAATTCCAATATATTATTTAGGACTGCAGGGCGAAGCGAAGATTCATAAATGAAATTTCATTTGTTACTATTTTTCAGAATGTGTTGATAAAACAAAGCAAAAGTAGTTGGGCCTATTCATTGCATTTACATTGTCATGTAAATCCCCCCCCCCCCTTTCAACTTCCTGTAATTGTTATTATAATTTATTTATTACATTGATTGTATGAAAGGTGTGGGTCGTAAGGCAAGTTTTTCATTATTTGATAAGTTTTCAAGCTTTAATTCGAGTGTCACTGGAGGGTTTGCGAAATTTTTTTTGATGTATTTTGTCCCGAGATCGTGTAGGATGGAAGAAAAGCATTTCCGGCCACGGAAAATGCCTGGATCCGGAGATACAAGTAGGCCTAATTTGTGTTTTTCCTTTAATGAGCTGTACAAATTTTTTAATATCTAATATTCGCTGGGGCTAGATGGGTCATGAAATTCTTATTGCTGCAGAAAAAGGAACGTCCTTCCTGATCTCAGTGAGTACGATAGATTTGCTCATTATATTTACATGAGAACTTTGTGTTGAGTGTTAATATATGTTGCCTACTTGATGTGCAGCGAGAGCCTCTTGTTTCTAATCAGTAAATTTTAGTTTGGGAGCATTGAGAATCAGAGTAGCTTTTTAAAAGAAATCTTATTATATTAAATTTATATTTTAAAATACATCTGGTCTATGCATTGGTTAATTATTATTGTGGCCCCCCCCCCCCCCCCCCCAGGCTGCTGTTGTAAAGACAAGTGTTTTGAAATGAGTACCTTGGTAATTTGATAACCACCATAAAATTAAGATTACTGACTTGAATGCCATCTGATATTAAAACGACAATATGTTGTGTCCTAAATGAAATCAAATTGCAGAAAAAGTTTTGCATTTGGACAAAGAATGTGTTCTTCCCCTTATTAAAATGTATTGAAATTGAAGCAATAAAATTTACATAAAATTAAACATTTCAGAGACACGATCAATTATTTTAATTTCTACATCATGCCTCATCTCTGTGAACAATTAAAATTGCAATCCCAAGTCACTTTTGTGGGAAGTAAATACCGGTACAGATATATTTTATTGGGTACATTTTTGTAAATGCTTCTCAGGTTGATCATAACTGTTTGTTAAGTTGGGAATATATGTGTTTTTTATTAGGTTGATAGCTCATTATAATTTTGTTTTGTTGGGTTGTTAGAATGATTGTATATGATCATAAATGTGTTTGTTTTGTTTATAAAATTTGATGATATAAATTTCTGTTCATATTAATTGAGTAAACCAAACTCGTACTACTGAACGAATGATTCACAATAGACTAAATGGCTCACACTGAAAATGGCTTATACTATAAAAGTAAACGTTTGTGATGGTTTAAAAGCAAACGTTATAAAAGTTGTACTGGGTGCACAGGAAACGTGACTTGAATCTCCATTAAGTATAACTCTATATTGCTACCACTTTTTTTTCCCTCTAAAACCACTAATCAAACACTAATTTAGTCAGGAAACGTCACATTTGTTAGGATGAAATTATGTGGTTTCTGAATTTTTAAAAACTAATGGTGCAGTTGCAACTCTTTAAGAAAAAACATAATTATAATCTCTAATATACAGATACCTTTTTTCGCCTACCCTTTAAACAGCCAATTGGGGGCATTATCTAAGAATATGTTCGGCACCATAGCATTGGGGTAAATGTTAAGTAGCTTGAGATTTGAACGCCAGGTTATTCTGAAATGTATAAAATTATCCGAACAAACTATCACATGTGACTGGTCTTTTAAAACCTGTTAAAAATGTTACGATGGTTTGTTAGCTCTTGAAATTTTCAATGCTCTCTGATCCTAGATATCCTACACAAGAGATGACATGTATTTGTGCATTGCATCAATCAAATAGAACCCTTTATAGCTGATACTTAGTGTAAAATATATAGTTAATATATAATATAGTTTATGACTTGACTGTACAGTAAAACAAAAAGAATAACAAATAATATATAGAATGAATGTTGGATAATTATACCATTATACATTAAAATGATGTAACTAAAATGGGTGAACATTTTTAGAATGATTTTTTTAATTCTATGTGGACTATGAGATTTGAACCACTTTTCAAAATAAAAAAATATTTCACGGTTATTGGCTTGCTACATTATTAGAGACAACATTCTCTGACCAGCTACATTATTAGAGACAACATTCTCCGACCAGATCATTTACCCCGGACGCCTGTTACATGTCTCTACCTGCTTAAAATATCGAACAGGTTTAGATTTTTCTATCACTTATATTTATTAAAATAACGCTACCCAGGCTCTGCATAACGGGAGCCAACCAGGAAATGTGATCCCAAAAGTTGCGAGATCTCACCAGGGACAGGATCACAAAAGTAGCGAGATCTCACCAGGTACAGGATCACAAAAGTAGCAAGATCTCACCAGGGACAGGATCACAAAAGTAGCGAGATCTCACCAGGTACAGGATCACAAAAGTAACGAGATCTCACCAGGTACATGATCACAAAAGTAGCGAGATCTCACCAGGGACAGGATCACAAAAGTAGCGAGATCTCAACAGGGACAGGAACACAAAAGTAGCGAGATCTCACCAGGGACAGGATCACAAAAGTAGCGAGATCTCACCAGGGACAGGATCACAAAAGTAGCGAGATCTCACCAGGTACAGGATAACAAAAGTAACGCGATCTCACCAGGGACAGGATCACAAAAGTAGCGAGATCTCACCAGGGACAGGAACACAAAAGTAGCGAGATCTCACCAGGGACAGGATCACAAAAGTAGCGAGATCTCACCAGGGACAGGATCACAAAAGTAGCGAGATCTCACCAGGGACAGGATCACAAAAGTAGCGAGATCTCACCGGGAACAGGATCACAAAAGTAGCGAGATCTCACCAGGGACACGATCGCTAAAGTAGCGAGATCTCACCAGGGACAGGATCACAAAAGTAGCGAGATCTCAACAGGGACAGGATCACAAATGTAGCGAGATCTCAACAGGGACAGGATCACAAATGTAGCGAGATCTCAACAGGGACAGGATCACAAATGTAGCGAGATCTCAACAGGGACAGGA